TCAGTCCTAATAAAGTTAAATTGATACCAGAGTATTGAGGGGCGTTTAACGAGCATTTGGGGGGGGGGGTGTCAAACTAGAGCCAGGTTATGACTTGTCTACATTTTACAGTTCAAACAACGTAATTTTGAAGTTTGGATCGGAGAGCCCTGGTAAAAATTGGCGATAAGAGCTGCGTTTCAAAATACCGTAGGAATTCTTATAGCCGGCTAAAGAAGGCTACAGACAATCATACAGCTGGCTGTAGAATGCGGAGAAAATCATACGACCGGGATATACGAAGCGATAAAAAATTATGCAGCCGGGCTAAAGATCCTATAGCCGGGCTTTATACTTTATCGCCTGACTGTTGCTTTTTCGCCATCGATTATAAAAGGCTATACGAAATTGTGTAGAAATTCATGTGCTTTGGAAATCATTAAGTTTGATACGGAACCACCTTAATATTTACAAAACACACGTTATTTTTTCCTTTAATACATATTTTTTTCATCAATTAAAACGAGAATAATCCATACAGGATGTGTAAACATTTCAAAATCATGAGTTGAATAACGCTGACTCCGCCAGATTAAATATTACAGCCTAACACAAAGCGGAGCGGCGACGCACTGGCGCCTACGAACCTAACAGGGATACTTCACGCATTGCGCAACGCGTGAAGTATCCCTGTTAGGTTTATAGGCGCCAATGCACGTTTTGCGCTGGCTGCCCGCCTACCGCACCGCAGCGTGCCACGGCGCTTGAAGCAACTATTTCACACCAGAGGTATTGCACAGTATCATACGAAACTGAAGGCGCTCTAATATATTAGGAATGGCGGGCATCCATCAAAAGTACGGAGCTTTCCTCGCAAAATAAAGCAAGATACTACGGCTCGCAAAAAGAGTGCAGTGGTACAAAAACTCACTAAGTCCTAGCATCCGTAATTAGTGACGTTTAGCATACACTTTATCGCCTGGCTCTGCGTTGCTTAATCGCCATCGGCTATAAAAGGCTATAAGAAATTGTGTAGCCGGCTATAGAAGCTATTGGAAATCTTACAGCCGGCCGTAGGTCTATGGTATTTTGGAACACAGATTCTACTGCCAATTTTTACCAGGGAAGTTTTCAAATTGCCAAAAATGCCAGATTTTGTTTTAACTTCACGCCTTCCATCAACTTTATAATGAATTTTAGCTGCCCGCAAACTTAGACTTCGCCTTAACGCTATTTGAATTTTTCAGTCAGAATGCGCATTTTTAAGGAAAAACTTGAAATTTCTTACGTATTGTTTTTTCAAAATTATTTATTGCCGAGTTGTATTTAAAAGTTAAGATTAGGTATGCAGTATTTTCTTTCTGTATGCGAATAAATTACCGTGCGAAGAAACCAAATCAACCACATGCATTTATACTTTTTCCTCATTCACCGATGAGAATATTCGACCGATGACAACATTGCACAGAGAGAGGAAACGAAAGAAAAAACGCAGTTTTTTCACCCGGCGAAATATTATATTTCTAACGGATACAGTCACTATCCGAACCTCTTGGGGAAAAAAGTCATTTGAAAATGAGTAAAAGAACAATCGTTCTTGTCATCCTGAATTCATTTCATCAGCAATGATGTAACTCAACCGGACCTGCCAAGTTGCAGCGAGTGCTCTGATAAAGTTAATAATGAGGTAGACATAATTTTTGGCTCTCCGGAGAGAGAAATCCCGGATTCACACACTGCGGTTGTTTTTCGGCTGCAGCGGCGCTTACGTGATTTTACGACCTAATGACGGCCTTAAATTCGTACCGGTTCTGACCCGAGCATTCCGTTCTGCACTCTACCCAAGCGGTGCAATTTTCAGTGTGGTTCAAGTTGGTTTCTTGCGAGCAGACCTCGTAAATCGAATCACTGCTAATATATCTTACAACAAAGCATGTAAAATTAAGACAGTGCTTATTTAACAGGTTGTGAACCCTATATGTTGAGTGTGGGAAAAGGTATTCACAAAAAACAAGGCAGCGGCTCTTGACATTTACGTTCAAAGTAAAATAAAATCACTTTCACGTGAATAAAACAAAAAATGTTCATCAGGGGCATTAAACCAAGAATTGATGATGGTTGATAATTTTGATTCAGTTTCGAAAAGTGGAACTAACTTATTTAATTGAAACAGAGAGAGAGCTTTGACTTTTTCCCCCTCTTACACGAGTTCCAATGAATGATCTCATAAATGAAATGAGTCCATGTTCGGGTTACCAAATCGTTTTCGTGGGTAATAACATTTGATAATATAAATAAAATAAAATAAATTACCTTTCAAGCTCTATACCACGTATACCTAAATCAGCTATCTCTCTAAATAAGGACTCGGTAAATTATCTCTCTACTTACATGATGTATTTACATTTTGCTGATCAATGCCAAAAAATGTATGGGATTTCTAGCAAAGTTTTTCCAAACTTTTGAGTAACTTTGCGTGAGGGGTTTGCCAGAGTATCATCGGCACAATTTTTCAATTCTTTCAGTGAATTTTTTCGCCGAGAGTCCTAGCAATTTAACCTACAACCTACGGTTTCTATCATACCAACGCCTGACAAGAGATTTACTACAGTGCGTACCTAACCCACCTTCATTTTTTCGGTCATTCCATTTTACAAAGTGTATGTCATTCACAAGTGTAGGTATGTCATGCATGTGTATTCTCATCAATGAAATTTCGGAGACCCGCACGAGAAAATGATCAATAAAAAATACTAAAAAACTAAAAAACTAAAAAACTTAAAAACTTAAAAACTCACTTGCCCGTAAAATATTTACCGGCGAAAAGCGGCGATTTATGCGCAAGCGAGTTTTTACGTTTTTAAGTATATTTTATTTTGTATTTTCATATTCAAAAATGCAAATACAAGGGTTGAATTCATTAAAAAAAATTTGAAGTAATAGTGACATCTTTCGAAATCAAGAGGTAATCGGTTTATCATTTTGGAAAAAGTTTTGCTAATCCCTGATGAAAAAACAACGCTAGTTAAAAAAACGAATTGCGCAACTCTTGAAAGATTCCCGACAGACCTAATCCTTACATTCTATCGTTATCGGGGGGCATCGGCTCACCACTACCGCGTCATAACGGATCCTTACAAATCGTAATTGGCGTGGATTTTGAAATGAGGAGGATATGCCAACCGAAATGATAAGTGGATAAGATGGAGACTAGACATGACACAACGCGACGCTAAAGCTGCTGGAATTTTAAAGACTCTGGTTCTCAGTAAGGAGACGGTCGTCCTAAGTACGCCTGGACAGTATAAATATGGAATTAGTGGTAAAACAGCAGCCCTCCCGCAGATGAGATATGAGTTAAAATATGTTCCGCAGTTATGAAATTATGTTCAAGTGACAATGAACCTCATAAAGGACTTGAGTTTTGCAAGGATATTATGTAAACTTGGCAAACGGCTCTCTCTTCCACTGCCAATACTTACCTCATTAGATTTATGAGGAGAGGATATACGATAATTCTAAAGAGGAGGAAGTAACTTAAAAATGCGCAAATTTCTAACAAGGATTGTGAAGTTTAGAGTGAATTTTAAGCTCTCTCATGATTCTTTACCAATGTTTCTAAATCATTTTCTATTAGAAACGCTTTTTTTTTTGTTCCATCAAAAGTTTGCAACAGACCCGAATTATTTTCTGTGGGAATTTTTCAGAATGTACGATTGTTGAAGTCTAACAGTTGCGTATCTGCATCGCAATGTCACAAAATCTTATACTACATTTTATGTTATAAAGAGGAAAAAACCAACCGAAATATTTCGAGGGAATTTTCTTTTAAGTTATCTGTAAGAGTGAAGAAATTCACAAAAAAGGTCAAAAACAACTGTTGGTTATAGTTTTCATTTTAAATAATATAACTTGACAACGCAATTAACACCGCCACTATCGGAAAAACGCACTTTTTGACCTTATCCATCGATTTAAGGTATAGATTTAAAGTAGGATGTTCCATCCTATAGCCATTATATTCAGGGCCGGATTTACCTACTTGCCGCCCAAGGGCTGCCTGTATTTTGCCGCCCCCTTCTCATTCGTCTCGAAACATCAATAAAAACCATAAAGTGGACGTACCGGAGGGGGAGGGGTACATAAGACGCGTTTACTCGTGTTGGACACATTTTTTGCGAAAGCCCTGTCAACACTACTAGCAAAAGTTCACGGAACTTTGCGCAAAATACAAGTTTCGTAAACCTATCTCTGTGTGAACAAGGCCTTCCATTTGTAAGAAATGAACGTAAAAATTATGCAAGAACAAACATAAATGTGGTTTAATAATTTTAACCTCCGCCGCCGCGCCACGCTGACCGCACTCTGTTTGGCGCAATGCGTAAAGTATTCCTACAGTCTTGTAGGCGCTATGCATTTCACGCTGACCGCCGCGCCGCACCGCTGAACGCATACTGTGTTTGACGCAATGCGTGAAGTATTTATGAAGTCTAGTAGGCGCTATGCGTTTCACGCTGACCGCTACTGACCGCACTATATTTGACGCAATGCGTGAGGTATTCATGCAGTCTTGCATGTGGTACATGTCAACCGCCGCGCTGGGGCTCTTCTCCTTTTCATCTCAAGTCCTCATCATCATTGCTTCCTGCGCCGCGTCGCTCCATTCCAAATTGCGTGTTCCTCTCTTAACTCGACTAATTATTAAAGGTGCTGTCTCTTGTGTCATCGAAAGACGCTTTTATCGTTTGTAATTTTTTTTTTGAATCCGATTTTTTTTATACCTATATATGCAACAAAATTGCAAAATTTGCCGCCACCTAATAATTTGCCGCTATGGGCCGTGGCCCATGTGGCTACCCCCTTAATTCGGCCCAGATTTTATTTCTACGAATATCTAATAATGCTGTACCGGTATCGATATATTTTTTCTCGCATGTTTTTCTTCCCTTTTTTCTTGCGTGTTAAGCTTGATCTACATTCTACATGATAGACTACAAATCTTGGAATACTCTGTGTTGCAGATGAATTTCTGGGTGAGGTCGGGGGTGATAACCTTCCTGATCTTAATACTTTCCGGTGTAGTCAAAGCTCACCTCCACTTTATACGTCTGGCCTTACTTGCCGCCATGGGTCTCATCGGCTTGTACCTCATCCACAAATTGGCCCAGGACTGGAACAAAATCCGTGGAGGTGGTGGAGGAGGTGGAAGGCCGGGGAGAGTCCTGGGGCTCTTCAAAAGATCTGCTCCGGAATACACCGTAAGTGACATTTTTGTTATTTTCATTCCACACTGGGAAAAAGAGAATCTTGAATTTGCCGCCGAGAAGTATTTCTTCTTAAATCAAGAATTTTGCTGGTTAATATAAGCTAATTTTTTGCTTAATCCAAGCATTATTTTTCTTGAATCAAGAAAAAGTCAGCTTAAAGCAAGATAAAGAAAATTCTTGGTGGCAAATTCAAGAATTATCATGCTTGATCCAAGCTACTTTTTTTTCAGTGCATTCATGAATCCCCTCCTTCTTCCCATGTGCCGAGTTAAGGAAGAACACCGTTTGGACCTTCATACGTTGCCAAATTTCCCTTGATGAAATGCACATTTTAAAGGAAATTCGTGAATGATTCTCCTTCAATTTTTTCTGATGATTTTATCTGAAATTTAATCCTCAGTATATTTGAAGGAGAAACATTCTAAATTCCCTTTAAAAAAATGCATGCTTTTTAGCGGGAGATATGGCAGCCTCTGAATGTTTATACGGCGTTTTTTCTTAGCACGGCAGTATAGTTCAATGTTCTTGTTCATTCCAGTTTTACATATTGATTGATTATATTTTTCACTACTTTTATTCAAATTACGATAACTTTGTTACTACGATTCAACATCTCTAGATGATTTAGACGCATTTAACCAAAGCAGCGTAACTGTGGTTGGTCGGTTTTAACTACAATTACATTTTTCACGTCGCCCTGATAATTTTTGGTCACACTAGATAATTATATATTTCTTGGTTAAAAAACAAATGAAAATAATTATTTTGGATTATGTTTTGATGCAATGTACATATAGGATTATCAAACCTGACAGTATTTAGGAAAATCATACGACCATCCTAAATCATTATTTTAAAATGTCTCGTTTGTTCCATGCTAGCGATTCATTATCTTCCATGATTACTCGTCATGTTTTCTCAATACATATTTATATCTTATGAATAAACATAATTATATCATCTGCATATAATTCTTAAATGAGGCATTTTAACCTATGTTGTAATTATGAAATTTTGAATACATTTCTTTTTTTCAGGAGCTAGATCAAATGGTTGATGACTCTTTCGACCACCTACCAACATTCGAGTCAATTCTAAGTCAAGACCCAATGGGTTGTGCACGTCGGTTGGTGTGCCAAATCGCAGCTAAACCAACTAAAGACCTGCAGCCTGACGAAAAACAAATCCTCAGTGTTCTCAGGTAAGCATTGCCGCCTTTAACACGAGCATTCATAATTAAGTACAGTATTCAAGATTCATGGAAAAGAGGTAGGGGTAATTCCCTAAAATTGTGGTGCTGCCTCATTTTGTTAGATTAATTGGGAATTTCCAATCAATTGCGGTGGTGCCGCAACTCAAAATGGGGATTTAGCACTCCAACAGATGGATTAGTAGCCTAATTCATTGGGATACAACCTACAACTACAACTAATTGGAAATGCCCAAGTTGGATTTTAACCCTCTTTTTTCCCCATTTGAAAGCGAACATTCGACTTGAATATTTGTAACAGCGGCGCTAGCGGATGTAGACATAAAACAGGAAAAATATCAACTTTCTATGATAGAAAGTACGAATGATTCGGAATTTCCACCTCCATTTGTTTTTCTGGACGGATGCTTAGTCCGCGTAATTACGTACACACTATATTTTTTCGATTTTCTCCCCCATTCTTCGTCATTTTTTGAACTGTGCGACGGGCTGCGGGTACTTTTTTTTAAAAGAACTTTTGAACCAGTGACAATTCAATGCAAAAAAAGAACACTTCTTTGCTAACGCTAAAATCTTCAGTGTAATCTTCTGCAACTCACGGTCCTACTTCATAAAAGTTTGTATTAAAAATATACATACTTTTCAGTTTGAATGAGTATATTTGACATTCAAGTACCTTATATTGTTCATTACATATAATGTTTTATCAGTTTTTTTATGATTTTTATATAAATTATATTTCATTGATTTCAATTTCATAACTATGCATTTAAAATTTTGAAGGGACCTCTAGAAATGAAGCTGACAATGAGTTACGCACCAAATAAATTAAACTTTATTCTATCAATAAATCAGAGCAAATATAACCTTAAAATTAAATAAGCAGTTACAGAAACAATCATTTTACATTGCAGAACATTGACTACCTACAATAACTTATTATTGAACTATTTACACTAGCTTAAAAAATTAAATCTATCCGGTGATAGAATGCTGCAAGAGGGAGACACGCAAAATTGTATAAATTGTGAAATAAATTAATCACTTACATCGAGGTGGTAGTTGTAGAGTAATGATCCCTGGTGAAAAATTATGATCACAGTTTTATTTAAATTAAAATTTTAGTCAGTTTTAAATACACGTGAATAAACATTAAAATAATTAAACGAATGAAACTAGAAATTACTCAGAACCACATTTAAAACTATGGTAGAGAATCGATTATGAAGGTGTTCGTTGCAAACACCCTTTTTATCGATCCTTTTCCATACGTTTAAATGACAGATCAATCGATAAATCGCAAAGCACGCCACGCCACTGATAAACAGGGTATTCGCAACTAACACCTGAATAATCGATTCTTTACCATAGCTTCAAATGGGGAAACTTCGATAATCGATCATTCACGCCTCGCTACTGGTTTTAAGTTGTGGGCGACTTAAGGCAGATACTTATTAAGGGTCATTGACACCTGGAAACCCTTTAAGGAACGTAAAAGTTTCAGCTCTTCCGTATGTTAATCAACTCCATGCACGCTGTGCAACTAAACGTATGGGGTGATATGCTCGTACGACGATGAAAACCTTTGAAAATATAGAGACATCATGGCTAATAAATGAAATTTAAAAAGGCTAAAGTTCTGATATCAAATGGAGGGAATATGATGAAAACCTGGGTCTGGTGAACTAACAGTTAAGCTCATAATATCACAAAGTTTAGTCTTGTTAGGTTATTAGCCTTGAATTTTTGCTCTTAGGAAATTTTTCAGTGTTGAATCTAAAAGCTGCTGCAGAGTTCTGAGAGAGACGAGCCGTCCTCGAAATATTTCACATTGAGTACACATGGTCTGATTCATTCATGAAATTTCCGTGTCTTTCTAGTCCTTTTTGTCGGATAGCTCAACTTGGAATGATTCGTACCAATAGTCTGATGCAGGTTGCGGAATACACCTGAAACAAAGAGAAGAAAACGATCACGTTATAAGATTAATGAGATGAGTTTATTTCTGTTTCAAATTGGTTGCCACGGTATAAAGGATTTTTTATTTTTAAACCATGTGAAGTAAAATTTTCAATAAGAAATTCCCAATTTTTCCAAAAAAATTGAGGTTTAAAATTTAGATTGCTTACTATTTCTCATCACTACCAATATTGTATGCCTTTACTATTCCCAACTACTGCCCTACTATTTCCAAATTAAAGTAAAACCTTTTACCTCTTTATCTCTTACTGTCAGCTGACGAATTCTAGGTACCTTACAGCCTTCAGATATTTTGGAGCCCATTAATTTTATTTATGACCAGTAACGTCATTTCAACAAAACTTTAACGGAGAAGGGGAGTGGCAAGTGACCTAACATGACCCCTAACAGGATACCTAAGTAAAGAAATAAATCAAGTTTTCAGCAATTCGATCAATTTTTCTCGTTTACCTAAGCCTTTTTGAAACGCAGGGAGGGGCGG